ATAAGTAATCATCTATCATATATCATAAACAAGAATAACAAGGATGATCTAAGTATGACCAATAAAAGAAGAAAATAACCTATAAAATACTATTTTATATATTTAAAATATTATTTAATATTTAATATATTTAAAATAATATTTAATATTTAATATATTTAAAATATTATTTATGATTCATATATTTAAAATATTATTTAATATAATTTAAAACTATGATCAAATATTAAATAAATAATAAATAACAATATAATAATAATAATAATATTATTATTATATTCAATATATTTTTACAGTATTATTTAATATTAATTTTAAAATATTACTCTTTAATAACCATGTCATATATAAAAAAAAAAAATAAATGAATACAAATAATCATCCTATCAATGACTAAACAAAAAAATGATCAAAGTATTGTATAATAAAAAATATTCTAAAAAATATTGAAAAAAAAAAAGGATACTTTTTTTTACATACATCCAATTATTTCTTTTATTTTTTTTTTATTTTTTCAAGAAAATTGTTTGTGTGTATATATAATACGTGAGTATATATACACAGAATAGTTTATATGGAATATACGTCACGTTTTGTTACACTCGTTGGAAAGAGATTGAACTTTCGCTTTCACTTGTGTATTCCTCTCTTGAAATTAAAGAACTTTTCTCTTGGTAGCTTTTTTTTTCTTTTTCTTTTTCTTTATATTCGATCGTTTTCTTCCGGTTTCTATTCGAAAAACACTTAGAAAATTAAACTCAACAACTTTGCGTACGTGCTTCAACAAAAACAACAACCGTCTGAACACGAATGTCTCATTTCTCATCTATTATATATTTTTCTATCATTTTTTTTTTTTGTCTAGTCGTGTCTCGTCGTAATCGTTATAGTAGTAGTATGGATTAGTAATAGTCACCGTCACGATCGTGATTTTCAAGTAAGACTAATAATATAATACGTAGTTGTGTATATTTGATTATTCACAACTACCTACTATATATATATATATATATATATATATATATATATATATATATATATATATATA